TCTTCCTGTCCAGGTCATGTAGTGGGCGGTATAAAGCCATTAACTCTGTGATCCCACTATAAGCGGCGGGGACTGTCTTCTCCCGGTACTAGTGCAACTCTACAGGGACAGGAGGGCTCCACAGCCTTTCTGTCCTGGAACAGAGCATGTTGTTGCTATGTCTGTTACTAGGCAAACACGTTTTTTAGCAGTCGAGAAAACATGTTTGAAACAGGAGAGGGGATTTCACCATTTGTTGAGTCACTGCACCATGAGGAGGATTGTGAAGCAATAAATTCCCATAATCTAAATCCTACTGGCCGTCCTAGCCACCGAGGACCAAATGAAGCAAATAGCTTTGTTTCTGCTGTGACAGGGGACACAACGTGGTACTGCTTTGTGGGCTCACTCCTCTGTAGCCCCCCTCAGTGATTCAGTGCCGAGCTAAATCCTGGTGATCTCTGGCACTGGGTGGGGAAGCGCAGAGCTGAACCATAGGGATAAGTGTCTTGGATCTATTGTGACCTGTCTGACCACTGCCAACCGCAAAGGTAACACAACTGCTTGCTGCAGTGCTTGCCCCACCTGTGATGAAGACCCGCAGTGGTAGAGAAGAAGTCTGCAGTATCGTTCTTGCTCAGGCAACATTAGCTCATGATTTTAGGGCTAGGGTTTCCAAGAATATATCCCCTCTGCTAACAATTAGGTTTGTCCACAGGCACAGCCTTACAAGAGTGGGGCTGAGTGCCAAATTGAGTAGGAGTGGATTAAACAAACCCCAAACCAAGAGCTGTTATAGCTACACGCTGTAGCAATACTGGCCTACTGACATGGTGCTGTGCCGACCTCATGCCTCCAGGTTGGGAGGGAGGGACACATTACTCTGATGCTAGGTGGGAGATGTGCATTCGGTAACAGGCTGCCCCATCCTGATGAAGAGTCCTCACATGTCCCCACTTTCCTCTTAGTGGATCACACGTGAAAGAACAGAAAGCTTTTAATTTAGGCGGCTTGCTTAGATTTTGTACTGCACTCCAAATGAGACCAATTTCACTTTTGCTTTAAGGACCTTCACTGGCTGGCTTTCTCCAGCAGCAGGACGGCGTCACTGTGTGTTGGCTCACAGCTGGAACCCCAAGTGACATTTTTACACGTGCACTTTCACAGAAGGAAGAAAAGAAATGCAGAGGTTCTAGTTCACGTTAGATTTGTACCCTTCCATGTTTCCTTCCTTCACTGAGGGCTTTACTTCTTGAAACTTGAAAACCAAATTGCGAACATGTGAGTCGGGACTATCAGATCATCCACGATAACTGCCTGCTAAACACAAGCCATTTTGTTTCACCAGCTGCCCTCTGTATTAAACCTCTATCCTGCGTTAGACTAAAAAAAAAAATCAAAAAATGAAATATCCACCACTCACATACCCAGCGCTCATTTTTTTGTAAGCTCAAACATGCGCTCTTGCCCCTTAAGAGTCACATGGCTGTAGCGCTACACAGGCATGCATACTATGCACAGATTTCTAAATTACACATGCATGCATAATAGTTAGTTAAATGATCCCCTGTGGTTTCAGTGGTCTGTAATTACATTGCGTCTCCCCTTATATTTACTCTCAGGAAAACTATCAACAGTTATTAAAGGGAGTATCGTACAGAGAGAAGAGGCACTGGCAATAAGATTATATCTTTGGGTGCCCCTTACACAAGAGGCGCATGACAACAAGACAAGAGAAGACATTTTGGAGCTAATAGAGAGTCAGGATGTAAGAACCTTTGGTGTAGAGGCAGATTAGTAATGAAGTTCAAGCTCCAGGACCAAACTCAGGAAAACTAGAGGCCAGTATCTACCACTGCCCCAGACCTCGGGTGCCCCTGGGCATATACCTGCTCTCTCTGCGTCTCAGTGCCTTATCTGCAAGTGGGGATAAAGCTACTTCCTTAGTTTACAACCTAAATAAGCAAGACAGGCAATGATGGGCAGGGGTATCTCGTCCCGTCTGAATGTATAGCATGTGCCCCAGTGTGTCTTCACTTTTGGCTGGGGTTTTTAAAAGCTACTGTAGTGCAAATAAATGGTAATTACATGCTATCCCCCAAAAGCATGTTACAGAAATGGTCCCAAAACACTTGCACTTGAAACAAACTCCCTGCTATGTTCTGAGCAATTACTGACGAGTACATTCGCTGGTTGGTAGTAACAATTGCCAAGCCCCGCTCTGTCATAACGTTTTTTAAAATATAGCTGAATTGAACTGCATCTGTCCCTGGGAGAGAGGGACACAGCACAAGAACAGCATATTGCACATGAAATGGAACAGAAAGAGAAGACTCTGGCCAAACACGCTACTGCAAAAAGCCTTCTTCCTGCGCACAAGGCTTAAGTAGACAAGATTGGCCTTTTTATTTTGAAAAAAGCCCAGAGCCTTGTTCTTCTTCCCGTTCCACTGTATTTATATCACTTAAGCTTCACTGATTTCATTACTCATTTCAGATTTATACCAGCACCAAAGAAAAGCGCCAGATCCCCAATCCTATGTGCCCACACAGAGTAAGCTGGCTAGATCTAAGAAGAATAAAGGATGGACTTACCAGTGTCATGATCTGAACCAGTGAGTCTCCACATCTGAAACTCAAAACTTCTGTGACATCCCTTCTAGACAGAAAATTCCTGGGTCAACATGCAGCCATTAATCTAACTTGCCTATATTTGACTGCTAAATGATAATACTCTGGACTTGTAGGGAACCTTTCAGCTTTTATTATTTCATCAGGTACTGGGCAATAGTTCCTCCCACAATAAGTGTATGAACTAAACCCAACGCATGTTACATAAATTAGAATAAGTCTCATTTTATATATGGGGAAACCAGGGAGTTAGAGAGGGAGAGAGACTTGCCCAAGGTCACACAGCAATTAGTTTGCAGAACTGAGGGAAATGAATCCTGAACCCAAGCACTGGGTCCCATCCCTGCTGTTACCGACTCCAACCGCTGGGCCACTCAATCAGCCCATTGAGCCATTACTCTTAAATGCAAACTGGGAAGGGCTGAGTTGTAAAGAGCCTATCGAAGAATTAACATTATCTGTGCTGAAACGTCCAACTATAACCACCCCACCGGAAGGTGCGAGGTGAAAGTAGTCCGGAGGAATTTCACTGGCTGTCGTGATGTTTCACCGGATTCTGGCACCTAGCGGTTACTGGTTCCTTGTAGTCTAGCAGCAAACAGATCTTGGATCTCATTCCCTGTGGCTCAGTAGATTTATAGCTAGGAGTTACGTATAGAATATAAACAGCTATTTGTATTTCAGGTATGATAAAATAGAGGAAGAGTTTAGTTTTCTCTTGTTCAAGGGACCAATTGTGCAGCTGCTCCATCTGCAGAATTTCTGTCCTTCAGTGGGATTTGGAAGCATACAGCGGGATTTTGAAATTGGACCTGGAAACTGCTGTGGTAGTGCACACCGTATATCCCAGCTGATAGTCAGGCGTGCTCTGGTTTCCAGGAGATTGCGTGTGCCCCTAACACTGTACTACAAAACTCAGCCATTTGCTTGCAATGATCTATGGAGACTTTGCTCTGGCACACCTTTTTGGGCGAGCCAAATGAAAGACCCTTCGTTCCAGTGACCCCTTGCGTTCCTTATCATATCTCAGTGCATTCCTACGTGACACCTGACAAAGGCTTGTTCACTATTCACCAGGGGCCCAGTATGTCTTTTGCAGAGCTCAAAGGTCCTCCATAGTCCCCTCTTCAGCCCTCATAAGCAAGCCACCAAGAAGGCCCACCAGTGCAAGATGGGATGCTGGGTTTTGCCATGTGGCCAACTGTCTAGACACGGGTCTGCCATCCCAACCGCCCATTTTGCAGAGGTGATCGAAACAGATGACCACCACTTTTAATGAGCAGCTTTGGCTGCACTTGGGCAGGTGATTTACAGGAGAGAGGCTACAGACCCTCCCAGCACTCCTCTGAGCCACCCAGTTCTCTCTTCAAGGGTTTGCAGAATCATGATTTCCACAGCTGAGTTCATAGAAATAGAAGACAAGGCTGGAAGGGACCTAGCGAGGTCACCTGCCCCTCTTCCCACCCCAAGGGGCAAGGCCCCTCTGTATTGCAGGGGAATTGGGATTCAGGGTGCCTGGAAAAAGAGCAGAACTGAAGGGAGATATTGGGGTGCAGACCCAGGTGACGATTTCCAGTGCTCCCTAAGAGGGTTGGGCTTTCCCGTCTTGTCTAAAATTCAGACAATGTAGGCTGGAAGGGACCTCGGAAGATCATCCTGTCCAAAATTAGCAGGGACCCGAGCACCTGCATCCCTTAAGTGGCTCTGAAAATCTTAGGGTCCTCCCTTCACACTTGCATAGAAAATCGGTACCTGGTTTAAAGACTTCTTCTGGGAAACAGCAACCTGTTGGGATTCCTCCCTCCCCACTGCCATAAACCTCCCATTTCTCGGCCTGGGGATTGTTCCATGGTATACCGATGACATCGTCTCTTAGCAGTCGGCTTTTATTTGTATTTTGCCTCTTATTTATGTTTTAGCGGACATGCATTTGTAATATTTTCAGGGACTGCCATGCCACGCCAAGTGCTACATGCTACATTGCATGTTATCCCACCCCAGTAGAACGTTTAACTGATTACCTTTCCTTTTTAAAAAAAAGATATATTTCAAGTTTGAGCTAGGTTTGCTTTGGTGTGCATTTTGTACAGTGACCGGCGTTTACAGGGGAGGGGGGTATTTCTGCTACCTGCACCAACCCTATTTTTCACATTTAACTTCTCCTACCTTGTAATAGTTCAGAGATTTTATAGATTTCATAGATTTTTAGGGTCGGAAGGGACCTCAGTAGATCGAGTCCGACCTCCTCCCCCGGGCAGGAAAGAGCGCTGGAGTCAGGTGTATCCAGGCTTTGGTGTCATTTGTCTACTACAGATAGAGCGAGAGCAAGCATCCCGCGTAACAAAGTTTCTCATCTGAAGGCTAAATACAAATCATAACCGGTTGTCAAACCTGACACGACTGCCACGCAGGTAAAGGCTGGATGCGAAGAATAGAAACAGCGATTACTTCCCCCAGCTAGTCTGAGCAATACGCCAGCGCCTTTCCTAGCCAAGACCCGAGCGTTCATTCACATCGCTCCGTCAGCGTGTCGGTTTGCGAGCAGCGCCTTTCCACGCCGCGTCCTAGGGTCGTCCCGGGGCTACCGACCCTGGCACGGTGACGGGAAGGGCAAGCTGGGCAAGCTGGACTTGGACCCCCCCCAACGCTTGTCCTTGCGCCCAGGCTTGGCTCTGCCTCAAACGCTGCAGAGGGCGACCGGGCGCAGGTGACTGCCTTGGGGCGCGGAGCCCGGCGCGGCGCGGCAGGGCCCGGCCGCAGCGCGGATGCGCTGTGACCCTCCCGCCGCCGCCGCCGCGCGTC